CAGTAAGGAGGTAAAATTATATGCACATGATATGACAGTATACTTAGAAAACCCTAAAGATTCTACAAGAAAATTACTGGACATAGTTGACCAATTCAGCAAATTGAAAGGATACAAGATCAACATAAAAAAATCAATTGGATTTCTCTCCAGTGACAAAGAGAATATAGAACTGAAGTTAAAAGTATAGAACTGAAGTTAAGAAAAATAATATCCATCACAATAGCTAATCACAAGATTAAATGTTATTATTGTTGTTGTCTTTATGTGCCATGAAGTTGCCTGCAACTCATAATGACCCTATGTACAACAGCCGTAAACACTGCTCTTTCCAATGCCAATCTCATTGTCTCCAACACACCTACCCCCATTACCCCAGTGACTAAATTAATCCATCTCATAGAGAGTCTTCCTCTCTTACGCTGTGCCTCCAACCCTCCCAAACATGATGTCCCTCTCCAAGGACTCGTCCCTCCTTGCTACGTTTTTACAATCACTTGCTATGCATCAGATAGCTGGACAGTGACTAGGGAGGACAGAAGGAGAATTGATGCCTTTGAGCTGTGGTGCTGGAGAAGAGTATTGAATATACGTTAGACTGCTAAGAAAATGAATAGGTTCACCCTGGAGAGGGTTAAACCAGGCTTCTCCTTGGAGGCAGGGATTCTTAAGCCTTGTCTGACATACTTTGGACATGTTGCAAGGAGGGACCAATCCTTGGAGAATGGTCGCTATGAGTTGCAGGCGACTCAACAGCACATAACAACAACAAAAACAGGACAGAGTGTAGAAATTATCAAACAATATCACGAATATCACATGCAAACAAGATTTTGCTGAAGATTACCCCAAAACAACTGGAACAGCACATCAGCAGAAAACTACCAGAAGTGCAGGCTGGGTTTAGAATGGGTCATGGTACTATGGATATTGTAGCAAATGTTAGATGGATCTTGGCTGAAAGCAAGGAGTACCAGAGGAATGCCTGCCTGTGTTTCCTTGATTATGCAAAGGCATAATTGACTGTGTGGATCAAAACAAACTGTGTCTAACTCTGAGAAGAATGGGAATCCCAGAACACTTGATTGTGCTAATGTGAAACCTATACTTGGAACAGGAGGCAGTTGTCAGAAGAAGGAAACACTGCATTGTTCAAAATTAGGTAGGTTGTACACCGGAGATGTGTCACATATCTCCATAACTTTTGCAGTCTATATGCAGAACACATTATTTGGGAGGCTGGGCTCTATGAGGATAAATATGGCATCAGGATTGGAGGAAGACTCATCAACAGTCTGCATTATGTAGAGGACACAATCTTGCTTGCTCAAACTGGGGAGGACCTGAAGCGCTTGCTGAAGAAGGTCAGGAACTGCAATCTTCAGTATGGATTGAGGCTCAATGTCAAGAAGACAAAGATTCTCACCACTGGGCTGATTGGCAGCATCATAATGGATGGTAGAGAGATTGAGATTGTTCACAGCTTTAGTTTGCTTGGCTCCACAATCAACACTCTTGGCACCAGCAGCCAGGAAATTAAAAGACATATTGCAGTCAGTTGGAAGCAGGAGTGGCATCCACTTCCATAAATAGCTTGCCTCCGGAAACCCTATGAACCTGGAGGAAGGATGGAGGTCACGCAAGTGTTGAGGACTTTTGTTCACAGATCACTATGAGTCGCCCACGACTCGACAGCACTTAACAACAACATAACAACATTGCAATGGGAAAGTCTGCTGTTTGAGACCTCTCTAAAGTACTGAAGAGCAACGTTGTCAGGCTGGAGACTAAGGTGCACCTGATTCAGGCCATGGTCTTTGCAATCACTTGCTATGAATCAGAGAGTCGGACAATGACTAGGGAGGACAAAAGGAGAATTGATAACTTTGAGCTGTGGTGCTAGAGAAGAGTATTGTTCATAGGGTTGCTGTGAGTCTTAGTCCACACTATGGCACCTAGAACACCAGATGAGTGTCAGGACAGGAATAACCCTTAATTCCCATGCACCGTTTCATTTTATCTTTTTACCAATAAAATGCTGTGCTGTAAATACCTGTCCACCATGAGTGTTCCTTCTGGCATTTGACACATCAGTAGCATAGCTTTCCGTATCACAGCAACCCACAAGTTACCACATGACAGCAAACTGACTAATGCCAAGTGACAGACTAAATGCTGTACTAATAACAATGATAAAAAAACTAAGAACAATGATTAAAAAAATCAACAATGTAGATACTTAGGCTATAAACTGATTACTCACATTGAAAAAGGGATTCTGGTCTTAACAAGATTATATAAACTGTGCAAGGTCACAATGCTGATACTTGACAGAGCCAGGATTTGAACCCATGGACTTTGGACAGTTGCTTATTTATTTATTTTGTGATCTGTCTCTAAATCTAAGCTCATAATCCACTATATGTATAAAATAGGGTGGAAAAGGAAAGACTACAAGAACTGCAACTCTTCTGTTATCTGAAATGCACTAGGCAATAACTTCCCTTCTGCTTCTGAGCACAGCTGAAATTCTATCATTATAGATTTGACTTGTAGCACTTGGGAATATTGATAGGTTTTGGTTTAAAAAGTCCAGTGCTTATGTGAAGAATGACACAGATCTAATGGGATAATGACAAGTTCAGGGTTGCAGTAACAACACAGAATCACAAACTATGAAGGAGCAGAAAAAGGAGAGATGGACTTGGAAACTTGATGTTAGAGAAGAGAGAGATCCGCAGTCAACTAGAAGACATTTTTGCCAAAAGCAACTGACAAAGAGTGGTGGTGGTGGTGGTGTACCGTTGAGTCACAATCAACCCATAGTTGGCCCTCCATCAAGTTTTCATAGACAGTAAATCGCTCAGGAAAAGATTGTCCATTTTTCTCCCACGAGCAGCTGGTGGGTTTAAACCACATGCCTTCGGGATTGCAGCACAGCTTCTTACCACTAGGCCACCAGAGCTCAATAAAGACTAACCAACAATTTAAACTTGACTATCTGGAATCTCTTTTTCCATTTTTAAATGATCCTGGAAGTATTAAAAGAAGATGGAAGGAATATACTGAGTCATTGTATCGAAAGGAATTGGAAGACACAGAAGAATTTCATGAAACAACATATGAGCAAGAGCCTATGGTGATGAAAGAAGAATTTTAGGCTGCTTTGAAGGACATGGCCAAAAATAAGGCTCCAGGAATAGATGGTATACCAATTGACATATTTCAGTTAACAGATGCTGCCCTGGACGTGCTCACCAAGTTGTGCCAAGAAATCTGGAGAACGACCACTTGGCAAACTGACTGGAAGAGATCGATATTTGTTCCTATCCCAAAGAAAGGTGACCCAACAGAATGTGGAAACTACAGAACAATTTCACTGATTTCACATGCAAGCAAGATTTTACTGAAGATTATCCAAAAACGACTGGAACAGCACATCAACAGAGAACTACCAGAAGTCCAGGCTGGTTTCAGAAGGGGTCGTGGTACTAGAGATATTGTAGCTGATGATAGATGGATCTTGGCTGAAAGCAGGGAATACCAGAGGAATGTCTATCTGTGTTTCATTGACTATGCAAAGGCATTTGACTGTGTAGATCATAACAAACTGTGGCTGACTCTGAGAAGAATGGGAATCCCAGAACACTTGATCGTTCTAATGCGAAACTTATACTTGGACCAGGAGGCAGTCGTCAGAACAGAGCAAGGGAACACTGCATGGTTCAAAATTGGGAAGGGCGTACGCCAGGGATGCATCCTATCTCCATATCTTTTCAACCTATATGCAGAACAGATTATCCGGGAGGCTGGGCTCTATGAGGAGAAACGTGGGGTCAAGATTGGTGGACGATTTATCAACAATCTGCGTTATGCGGATGACACAACCCTGCTTGCTGAAACTGAGGAGGACCTGAAGCACCTGCTGCAGAGTGTCAAGGACTGCAGCCTACAATATGGATTGAGGCTCAATGTCAGACAAAGATTCTCACCACTGGACCAATTGGCAGCATCAGGATGGATGGTGAAGAGATTGAGATTGTACACAGCTTTAGTTTGCTTGGCTCCATAGTCAACAGTCTTGGCACCAACAGCCAGGAAATTAAAAGGCACATTGCCATGGGAAAGACTGCTGTTAGGGACCTCTCCAAAGTGCTGAAGAGCAGTGGTATCTCTTTGGAGACTAAGGTGCGTCTAAAACAGGCCATGGTCTTCTCATTCACTTGTTATGCATCAGAGAGTTGGACAATGACCAAGGAGGATAGAAGGAGAATTGATGCCTTTGAGCTGTGGTGCTGGAGAAGAGTATTGAGAATACCATGGACTGCTAGGAAAACAAACAGATTTGTCCTGGAAAGGGTTAAACCGGGTGGCTCCTTGGAGGCAAGGATTCTGAGGCTCCGTCTAACATACTTTGGACATGTTGTGAGGAGAGACCGGTCTTTAGAGAGGGACATCATGCTTGGGAGGGTGGAGGGACAGTGCAGGAGGGGAAGGCCCTCTATGAGGTGGATTGATTCAGTGACTGGGATAATTGGGATGGGAGTGTCAGAGACAGTGTGATTGGCACAGGACAGAGCGGAGTTTAGGGCTGTTGTACATAGGGTCGCTATGAGTCGCAGGCGACTCGACGGCACATAACAACAACAACAACAACAACAATCTGGAATCTCTTAGTGGCACATATGACTAAGCACTTGCCAACTAGCCAAAGAATTGGTGTTGCAGACCCATGAAGACACCTCTCAGAAGACAAATGTGTCTTCTAAAGGTGACAGCCTTGAAAACTCTGAAGCACTGTTCAACTGTGACATTCATGGGTCACCATGAGTCAGAATTGCTTTGATAATAGGTAACAACATTTATATGGCAAAGTACAATAATGTATTTTAAAGTACAATAATATTTTAATACAGTTCCACTGAAAACCATCTGCTTTGATTCTAGGAAATGCAAAACTGATGGAAGCTATACTACATTGCTTTTTTTCCCCCTTATAGCAATCAACAGGCTTTTTTACTGGAGAATGTCCCTTGTAATAATGCAAGCTGTGAGGACGCACACCGTATGTTTAAAATCTACTGGGACCTGTCGAACCTAAATCAGATTGAGGATGCTATGGTTGCCACCTTCTTTGATATTTATGAAGATGTGAGTACAGAGGTTTTATTCATTTGAAGATTTTATTTCCATTTACCTTATCTCACTTGATGTCTCACTTTCCACTTCACCGTTTGACCAGAAAATGTTCATGAGATGATGATAGATGTGTTCATTAAAGATAGTCCTTTTTAATGTAAAAGACAAGGGGAATAAATGTATTGACTTACCATTGGTTGATTGATACAGTAAAATATAAAAATGCTCTTTTTCTTGTTCTGTGCATATTTGGATTACTAAAGAATCATGATCCAAGACCGTAAATTTGTATGCTCAGCACTAGAAAAAAAAATCAAATCAAATAGGACTGTGGATTTTTATATGATAGATGAAGGAATTCAGTATTCTCATTTAACGTTATGAGCTCAATTTTGCTAGTACCCTTTAAGTTAACTCTAACTCAGTGTGACTCCATATACAACAACAAAATCATTGTCCTCTGCAGTGCTGTTTTAATGATTTTAGCATGCAGAGCCCATTGCCCTTCTCACGCTGTATTTGGAATGCCTCCAACCCAGAGGCTCATCCTCTAGCACCATTTCAGATATACAATTCTCATCTCATTAATCCTTCCCTCTTGAATCCTACTTTTCAGGCCAAGTTCATTGTAATCCTTTGGGGTTTTTTTTATTTGATAATTTTGAAGAGTAAATTACCAGGCCTTTCTCCCTACTCTGGAAGGTTTGCTGAAATCTGTCCTCAATGGGTAACTCTGCTGACATTTGAAATACCAGCAGCACAGCAAAGCCCAGGCTGCCACAGTAGAGGAAACTCACTGGTAGGTGGTGGTAACTATTGCCACAGATACCTGTGCCTGGTTATGTTGTAAAACATTCTCCAGGCTCACTTTCCCCTTTTGTAAAGTGAAAAGAATTGATGCCTTTGAGCTGTGGTGTGGGAAAAGAATGCTGAACATCCCATGGGCTGCCCAAAGAAAAACAAGTATGTCTTGTATAGGATGCACCCAGAGTGTTCTTTGGAGGCAAAAATAATGAGGCTTTGCCTCACAAGCTTTGTGCATGTTGCTAGGAAAGAGGGCTTGGAGAGGGACATAAAGACCAGAAGAGTAGAGGATCGGTGAAGGAGAGGAAGACGCTCAACTAGGTGGATTGATACGATGAGTGTCACAATGGACTTTAATGTGTCAAAAGTGTGAGAATAGAGCAAGATAGGAGAAGGTACAGATCTGTTGTTCATAGGGTCACACTCAATTCTACAGCACCCAGAAATAACAACCAATAAGTGAAAAGACAGTTTGTCACTCAACTTGTTGGGAATGTAGATAATGGCTTTCGGGGTGGAGGCGGGGAACTTATTCAATTCCACAGGCAATATATGGCAAAATAATGATTATTTTTTAAATGTAAATACCAACCAGGATAGTTATATGTCTTCCTCTCCTGATTTGAGATTTGTGTTGCTTTTTTTGAAGCACCTGATCCTCAGTTAAATGAATGAGCCATATTATTTTCCTCAATTTCTCCTATATTATGTCATATGGCATTTCATTGGCATTCCCAGGACAAAAAAAAAGTTAGCAAAATTGATCACAAATCAAATTTTTATTTCTGTACATCAAAAGTATCATAAATAAAATTGAAAACATTTTCCATCTGAGAAATAAACTTGCTATGAAAAAGTCATTCTCCTTAATATAAAAAGAGCTCATGCAAAATGATTGGCATCACTAAAAACACATAGTAAAAAAAGAATAGTCAATTTACAGAGAGTTTTGAAAAACCGCACATATATACAAAAGGTTATCATATGAAAAATCATCAGACTGATTAAAGAGTGAAAGGAAAGTAATTTAAATGTGCATGGCTCTTTGGCAGGAAGGGGAACAAATGGAATTTTTCTTCATTTATTAGGAAAAACAACCTCAAAACCCCTGTAGTATGCAGTTGTGGCAAGCACAGGCAGGCTGTGCCAAAAAGGACGAGTTGTCATTGAAGTATTTCAGAAAGTAGCATATAATTCAGCACTGTTGGTATTAAAGAAAGAACTCTAAGCTGCACTGAAGGCATTAATGAAAAACAGATCCCCAAGTAATGATGGGCTGTCAGCTGAGATATGTCAACAAACAGATGCTCTGGTGGATGTGTTCACTTGTCTACACCTAGAAATGCAGAAGACAGCTGCTTGGCCAACTAACTGAAAGAGATTTGTAATTGTGCCATTCAGAAAGAAAAAGTGATAAATGATGAAAAGATCAAGCAACGTTAATATCACATGCAAGTAAAATTGTGCTGAAAATAATTTTTTTAAAAAATAGTTATAGCAGTACCTTAACAGAAACTGCCATAGATTCAAATTGTATTCAAGAAAGAACATGGAAGGAAGACAAAGGTATCCTTGCTGATGTCATACAAATACTGTCTGACAGAATTCCAGAAACATGTTCAACTTTCCAGTGGATCATAAAAAAATTATGGATAACAAGAATGGGAAATCCAGAACATTCATTTGTACTGAAATATATACTGCATTGAAACAGATGAGGGAGAGAACTGTTTAAAAGGAATATATGATTAGGTATTATTGTCATGACAAGAGTCCAGAATAAGAGCTGCGTAGTAAAGTCGACTTGGGGGTGGGGATTTTCCCCCCCTTCAAGGAGAAGAACTAACTGGGAGGAGAGGTGAGTAGGGAGGAAAGTGTGCAATAGTGTATGAATGGAAATTCAAAGTCTCTGTAAACTTTCTTTAAAATTTAATTTGAAAATAAGAAAGAAAGAAGTCTGTATGTGGACCACAGCACAATGTGGACCAGTAACACACGGGTATTGTGTGTTTAAAACCTGAAAATATGCATCAGGGGTTATGCTTTCACCACACTTAGCCAGTAGCCTAAGGAATTCCAGAATTCTAGACTATATAATAAAGAATGCATGTGGCATCAGAATTAGGGGGAGGCTCATAAACAACTTGTGATGTGCATATAGCCTTGCTTGCCAAAAGCAAAGGGGACCTGACATTTCTGATGAAGCTTAAAGCTGATAATCTTCAGTATTAATTGTTGTTGTTGTGTGCTGTCGAGTTGCCTGCGACTCATAACAACCCTAAACCCTGCTCTATCCTGTGCCTACTTTATTGTCTCCAACACTCCTACTCCTATTACCCCAGTCACTGATCAATCCGTCTCATCGAAGGTCTTCCTCTCCTGCACTGTCACTCCCTCCTCCCAAGGAAGACTTGCCTCTCCAGGGACTGATCCCGTGTTACAACATGTTCAAAGTATGTCAGACAAAGCTTCAGAATCCTTGCCTCCAAGCAGTAGCCTGGTCTCACCCTCTCTAGGATGAACTTGTTTCTCCAACATCACAGCTCAAAGGCATCAACTCTCCTTCTATCATTCCTAGTCATTGTCTAGCTTTCTACTAATAAGGTCATCATCATAAGTGGGAAAAGGTTTGAAGTTGTCAAAGATTCTTTTTTTCTAGTCTATATAATAAACACCCTCTGTAGCAGTGGCAATGAAGGAATAAAAGGGTATATTACAGTGGGAAATGTGGGTTATAAATGACTTTAGGGAATTAAAGATCAAAAACATCACTTTGAGAACTAATGTCCTCCTGGACCATGCCATGGTGTTTTCAGTCATTTTATTGGCATGTGAAAGCCAAACAGGAAGTAAAGACAACCAAAGAAGAATCAGTGACTTTGAATGAAAGTGTTGGTGAAAATACCATGTGGAGAAATTATCAAACTATATCGTTAATATCACCTGGAAGCAAAATATTGCTGAAGATCATCCACAGATGGCTGGAACAGTAGTACATTGACAGGGAACCACCAGAAGTTCAAGCTGACTTTAGAAGAGGTCATGCGTAGCACCTGGGATATTACTGCTGATGTCAGATGGATCCTGACTGAAAGCAGAGAATATCAGAAGAATGTCTGTCTCATTTTAATGACCATTCAAAGGCAATTGACTATGTGGATCACAACAAACTATAGCTAACATTCAGAAGAATAAGAATTCCAGAACACTTAAATGGTGCTTGTGCAGAATTTATACCTAGATTAAGAACTGTGTCTGAACAAAGCAAGGCAACACTGCATAGCCTAAACTCAGGAAGAGTGTGCATAAGGGATATGTCCCTTCTCTATACCTAGTCAGTGGCTCTGATGAGCAAATAATTCATGAAGCTGAACTCTTTGAAGATGAATGTGGCATAAGGATCAGGAAAAGATCATAGCAACTTGTGTAGATGACACAGCCTTGCTTGCTGAAAGGGAAGAGGCCCTGAAATGTTTGTTACAGAGGAACAGACTACAGCCAGTCTTCAATACAAATTGCATCTCAACATCAAGAAAACAAAGGTCCTTACCACTAGGCCAATGGGCAATATCAGCTAAATGGAGAAAAGATCCAAAGTTTCATTGATTTCATCTTGCTTAGCTCCACAGTCAACACCCATGGTACCAGCAGTCAGGATATCAGGAAACATAATGCTATCAGCAAGTCTGTTATCAGTGACCTTCCCAAAATACTGAAGAGAAATGACATTGTTTGAAGACTAAGGTGCACCTGTTTCAAGCAATAATCTTTTCCATTACTTGGTATGCATATGTGAGCTGGAAAATTAATATGGGTAACAAAAAAAGGTATGCCTTTGAACTGTGGTGTTGGAAAAGAGTACTGAATATCCCACAGACTACCAAAATAACAAGTAAACATGTCTTAGAAAAGGTGCAACCAGAGTGTTCCATGAAGGCAAGAATGATGAAGCTTCATCTCTCATACTTTGGACATACTGCTAGGGGAGGCTATTCCTTGGAAAGAGATGTCATGCTCAGAAAGGTGGAGGGTCAACAAAAGAAAGGAAGATACCCCCCCCCCCCCAGTGAGGTGGATTGATATCGTGGCTGCAGCAATGGGCTCAAACGTGTTAGAGATGATGAGGATGGCACAGGACAGGACAGAGTTCAGGGCTCTTGTTCATAGGGTCACTACAAGTTGTACTCAAATCAACAGACTACTCCTGACAACAACATACCATGCATTTCCAGAAGAACAAGCAAATTTATCTTGAACGAAGTACAGTTAGAATGTTCCTAACGAGCAAGGGCGGTGTGACTTCACCTCAGATACTTTGGACCTGTCATTAGGAGAAACACAATTTGTGCTGCCATTGCAAAAGAAGGAAACCATCATGGTTGGGAAAGTAAAGGGAGAGCAAGAAAAAGAGGCAGACCCTTGGTACGAGGAATTGACACAGCCGTTGCAAAACTGAGAACAGATATAAGCAATTAGTGTACAGATGCAGTAGGACTAGGCAGTGTTTTCTTGTTGTAACTGGTTTGGAAACTGCTCCGTGACACCTGACAAGAACGAGCAGCAGATCAAAGGATCTTTCTCTAATAAATAGAAATTATTTGGCATCCCATTTCACTTACCTTTAAAAATTTAGTAAATGGAAATTGAAAAAAATCTGTTTGGGAAAACAATGTATTCTAATTTTGTAAATAAACTGGTATAATAATTAATAAAAAAAGAAAAAATTTTGTTATGTAAAAAGATTAAACAAAAGTATGACTGAAAGAAAATAGACTAAATGCTAACAATTCAACACTTCTCTCCAGAGACTGAAATTGGATATGCTCCTCATTTTGTTGATAGTTCCTTATTCAGAGTGATTTATTTTTAAAATAGAAGCCTTTTATTAAACATCAGTCTGGTAGATTGTAGCAATTTTGTTTTCTTTTTTCTAGGGTATTTTGGATATTATAGTCCTAAGTAAAGGACATAGAAAGAATGATTTTGCCATCCATACTCTGAAAAATAACTTTGAAGCAGATGCATATTTTGTTAAAGTCATTGGTGAGTATTTATTCCACATGTTTTGCTGTTAAAAAATCAACTCCTGTAACATCAGTTCCAACTTATGGGGACTCTGTATGTGGCCAAGTAGAACTATACTCCAGAGTTCAACAAGCTCAGTGACTAACTTCTCAGAAGTATATCACCAGACATTTCTTCTGAGGTACATATAAGTGTACTCTACCCAGGAACCTTTCCCTTCACAGCCACATTTGTTAAGCAACCAAGTATCTCTAATATTAACATTTAATTCTGTATCGCTTCTCTCTCTTTCCCCTCCTCCATGTCCCCATCTCTCTGTGTCTCTGCCACTCTCCTTCTCTGCTTTGAATTGTCCAGACAGTGAGGACCCACTGCTGCCAGCCCTCCAGATCAGGCCATGGACTGCAGTCCTATACACAGATCCTCTATTCAAAAGTCCAATTAACTTTCCCAATAAAGGTTTCATACTGCTTTCTTCTAGAGCCTTTCCATGAATGTCCATCACAGTAAGTTATCTCATCTCCTTAGCCTTCCTGATTCTGGAACAGTTAATTTCCTATTTTTCATTTAAAAGATGTATAGGCCTTAACATTCTGCTGCATGATCCTGTATTTCCTCATTACGCACCTCAGGCCATGCACTCTTTGCAGAAATCTCACTGGTTGGAATTAGAGAAGTGATGTGGTTCACTTCCTTGGAGGCACACAGACTTGGCCTGTGTCTCCACTGTAGTGTTTACTTTGATTGTTTGGCCTGCGTTCATAACCACTCGGTTTCAGTATTAATTCACCATCTTCCTCCTTTGTACTTCCTGATTAGTATATTGTATGGAGATGTTCTGATACTGTTCATTTTCCGAACACATTTCTGCCAACAAGCCTACATAGAAACCGTTGTCAAATTCTGCCTGAAAGCACTCTCCATATGACCTCTGTTTCCATCCTACTTGCAGCATGGTATGCTGAAAAACCGTTCACATTAACACAAACAGAACTCGGTATCTCTTCGACAGTAACTCCCGCCCGTCCTGTCCTCCTTCATGCCTCTGGCAACCACTAATAAACCTTGGTTTCTGGGCATGTACTTATTGTACATATTTTATTTAATTCAAATGGTACAATATTTGTCCTTCTGTATCTAATTTACTTTATTCAGTATAATGTCTGAAAGGTATATGCTCACTTTTATCAACACAAGTTCGACTCATTTGTTATTTGACAGCTTGTACTGCATTGTTCCGTGCTGTCAAGTCAGCTCTGACTACATCGAGCAGAATGGAGCTGCCCTATCCCATCCCCATCCTTTGGGAGTCGTCCTCTCTTTGACTGACCCTCTGCTTTTCTAAGCTTAATGTCTTTTTCCAGTGACTGGGCATAGTGTGCCCCAAAGGTGAACTGTCCCCATCCTTGTTTCTAAGCAGCACTCTGACTTCACTTTTTCCAAGAAAGATTTATTTGATCTTTTTGGCAGTCCATGATAGATTATAGGGAGTTCTTATCATTAAGTGATAAGGAGTTGTGCTGTCAGCCCAAAAGCACACAGTTCAAATCCGCAAACTGCTCCACAGGAGAAAGATGGGCAGCCTCTTCCCCTGTGATTAACTGCCTCTGAAAACCTGCTGGAGGGTGTGCTGTGTCGGTTCCAGCACAGCAGGACATAACAACAACCATGTCATATCCAGTATTCTTTGCCAACACCACGAAAATCCAAAGCCGCCAATTCCCCTTTGATCCTCCTTATTCATTGTCCTGTATTTGACTTACTTATGAAGCAATTGCAAATACCATGACTTGGTTCGACTCACTTTAGTCTTTGAAAGTAATATCCTTGCCCTTTATCACTTTAAATGGAATGTCACTATGAGTCTTAATTGAGTGGATTTGGGTTTTGTAACATATGACTGTCAATTCAATGGTCAAATTGTTCGTTCTCACTGTGAGGAGGAGGAGGTGCTTGAAGTTGGTCCCTGTATAATTCTGATGGGTTCTTTGGCACAGCAAGATATTCCAGGTTCATCTTGTACTCGCCCCTACCTTGGAATCAGACATTTCTCCAAGAAACCCTGGTTCCTTTTTATAGAAGATGATATTTAAAAACTAAGTTCAGGTACTCAGTGTTCTCTTTTCTGCTGGGCTGTCATTTCTTCAGAGGCTTTCCTTTCTACAGAACTAGGGAATACAAGTACAGAGTCACACATGTGTACAAATCTATCATTGCTTTTCTATCTGTGTATTTATAACAATACTTACACTTCCCATCTAAGACAAAACTGGGTTCTTTCTAATTCTTGATAATGTTTATAAGTATCTTTTTCTAGCAGTGGAAAACATGGCTCTCATTATCCCCAGTACTTTTATATTTAGTTGTTCATTGTAACCAGTTCCCATCCAGAATAGCCATTACATCTCCCTTCCATTCCTCATAATCATCAAATATTAACATCAAGTTGAAATAGCCACACTAAACTACTAAAGAGAGAAAGCAGTTCTCAATATGAACCAGAAGCATCACATATGTTATTATTTATTATTGATCACATGCCTGATCATTGGCAACCTCAGAAAATATATACATATGATTTAGGGTCTTCTGTCTCTCCTAGTATGATTTATTCATCTACAAGGTTGAATTTTTTTGTTTTCATCTAAAAAAATATAACCACAGTATCTTAGAGGTTAGGCCTCAGAAGGCAAGCTCCCAAGTCCAACCTACTATAGTATCTCCACCAACTTCTGCTGAAATACAACTTTGTCTCCTTCAAAGGGGCATTTCATTACTTCTGTATATTAATGGAGGGAGGGTGGTTTAGTGGTAAGGAATTGCACTGGGAACCCAAAAGCACATGGTTCAAATCCACCAGTCGCTCCAGAGGAGATAGTTGGGCAATCTCCTCCAGTATTATTATTGCCTCTGAAAACACACTGGAGGGTTAGCTGTGGGTCAGTTCCAACTCAGCAGTACACAGCAACAGCATGTATTAATGGGGCCCTGAGTTGGGCAGTTCCTGCACGCTTCTGCCAACCCAAGGTTTAAAAGTTTGAGTCTACCTTGGAAGTAAGAACTGGCAATTAATTCCTGAAAAGTCAGCCAGCGTATGCCGTATGAAACATCTTCACTCCGCCCTGCACAGGGTACCCATGCGCATTGCAATTGATGAGTGCAGTTAAGTGGTATGTATTGTTACTAATAGTTAACGTGCAAGAGTCCCTTAATAGGCATTTACCCTGTAAAAAAGATAAGTCCTAATAAGATTACCATCTGTAACTGTAATAGAATACCAGTAAGTGTATTATTGTCCCTCCTGAGGGAAAACAAACTTCTTGTTTCTTGCAAATAGTGAGGTAAATTACTTGAAAATAAAATGACATGTCTAAGGTTTTGTTGTTGATGTTCTATTTTTTTTTTAATGTAGCCCCATGAAGTGAGATTTGGAATAAAGAGTAAGATTGTCCACATGTTGTTCACAGTTGTTGAAAAGTTCGAACCCAAGAGACTATTGAAGATCTCTGACCTGAACAATTTATGAAAGAATCTCTTTTCTGTGGCCTCTTAGCCCATGTACGCTTTCTAAGCAGCATTGCATCCTGGGGAAAATTTCTCAAAGCATTGCTTGCTGAGATAGAAATACCCAAATTGTAGTGTCAAGAAGCTGCACTGCAATCCAGAGGTACATGGTTCAAATCCACCAGATGTTCTGCTGGAGAAGGAGGGGCAATCTCCTCCTGTACCAGTCAGATCCGATCTGACAGTACACACACAAAAAAATAATAAAATAAAATTTTAAAAAGTTAAAAAAAATAAATACCCAGTTTTGTGTTTGTTGTTGTGTGCCATTGAGTCAGAACTGACCCATAGCTGACCCTCCAGTGGGTTTTCAGAGGAAGTTAATCACACGGGAGGAGACTGCCCATCCTTCTCCCATTGAGCAGCGAGCAGACTCAAACTGTGTGCCTTTGGGATTGCAGCACAGCTTCTTACCACTAGGCCACTAGAGCCTCCTCTGGTTTGCTGTAGGAGGTTTTGGTTTTAGCAAACAGAATAACTTTGCACTGAAAATATTAACATACATATTAATGATGTACTTTGCAGAAAGGTCATGGGAAATAAGATACCGATTTAAAGCAATCATTTCGGGGGGAAATAACCTCCTCCTCGTTTTGAACTGCCCTTTCACTCTCTGCTTTGATTATTAGTTGTTGTTTGCCTTGGCAGATCCTTACTAGTCTGTAATTACCCTTTCAAGCCTGTCTGCAGTGTCCTAGTTGATTTTGCTCTAAAATTATTTTGTTATTCTAGTGCTCGAACCAGTGAATACTAAATGTCACTGTGTTTCAATTAGGGAAATTTAAGTACTTAAGCTTTTTATTTGTGCCCAGGCAAAGGTAAAACAACCTGGCTATTTATTGCTCTGCTTATTCCCACAACAAAACATCCCATACAGTACTTTTCAAACCCCTATACGAAGACTCTGATACAGGCCTTGGTCTTTGCTATCACTTGCTATGCATCAGATAGTTGGAAAATGACCAAGGAGGATAGAAGGAGAATTGATGCCTTTGAGCTGTGGTGCTGGAGAAGAGTATTGAATGTACGTACCATGGACTGCTAGGAAAACAAACAGATTCATCCTGGAAAGGGTTAAACCGGGCAGCTCCCTGGAGGCAAGGATTCTGAGGGTCCATCTAACATACTTTGGACATGACATAAGGAGGGAGAGGTCCTTGGAGAGGGACATCATGCTTGGGAGGGTGGAGGGACAGCACAGGAGGGGAAGGCCCTCCATGAGGTGGATTGATTCAGTGACTGGGATAATCGTTATGGGTGTGTCAGAGACAGTGCGATTGGCACAGGACAGAGCAGAGTTTAGGGCTGTTGTACATAGGGTCACTGTGAGTCGCAAGCAACTCGACGGCATATAACAACAACAACATACGAAGACTGTTCTGGAGGTGGTGGTGGTGGTGGTGGTCGTGGTCATGGTGGTTGTGGTGGTGGTGGTGGTCATAGTCGTCATGGTC